GTGATAAGACAAGGGGGAATGGCTTTAAACTGACAGAGGGCAAATTTAGATCAGATACTAGGAAGAAGTTCTTCCCTGTGAGAGTGCTGAGGCACTGGCACAGGTTGCCCAAAGAAGCTGCGGCTGCCCCATCCCTGGCAGTGTTCAAGCCCAGGTTGGATGGGGCTTTGAGCAGCCTGGTCTGGTAGAATGTGTCCCTATCTGCGGCAGGGGGGGTTGGAACTGGGTGGTCTTTAATGTCCCTTCCAGCCCAAACCATTCTGTGATCTGTAATCATCCAGCTGCCTTTGTAATAGAGACTTTGTGAGATCAGGCTGGAGGGGAGGGTAACTTAGTAGCTTTCTGTTATATATACCTTAATATTAAGCCATTTAAGATTATTAAATTGGGGTCTTAACTGCAACCGTGCAAGCAAGGTGTAAAGGATTGCACTAGCAGCCTGATATTTGCAGTTTATCATGGCAAATCTTGGTGTTCACTTCTACTGTGGAGACCTGTGAAGGTACCCAGCCGTCTTTACCTTCTGCCTAATGCTGGGCTTCATTCCTTTTGTCTGCTTGTGTGTCAGGGTCACATTAGAAGTTCTGGATCATCAAAACAATGTGAAGAGCAATTGAGGGCAAAGAATGTATTTTTTTCCTCAGTAAAGAAACCAACTTGGGTCTCTGCTCTCACGTTGGCTGCAGAACTCTTTAGAACTGGTCAGTTCTTTTGTGCCTTTCACTTACAAGCAGTTAGCTGTACCTTTCAGCAGACAGTGTCCATAGCGAGAGGGGACATTAATAGTTACCTGTTGAGTAAGATATTAGTACTGAAGGGTTCTGAGACAAACAGGTTCACATAAGCTTAGCGACACTGGGATGAAATGTGGAATAAAGCCACCGTTGTGCCACCTGATCCCTCCCAGTATGGTTAATATCCAGAAAAAACCAATCAGCTGTGTGACAGAAAAGCGTTTACCCAATTTCACCTTTCCTGGAGATCTTGCTGAACAGATGACAGTTGTGCCCAGGAGAAATGTGGCTGTACCTACCGTATGGCATCCAGCATGCCCCGATGCTACACTGCACTGGGAATGTGAACATTCTTTGGTATTGAACAAACTTCTCTCCTTTTCAGATCACTTCAGTGACCTTTCTAGTATTACTTATTTCTATGATGGTTAATAAGATGTACTTAATTAGTAATCACACAGTTTTCCTAATATGGTCTATACTGATATGAAGTCAGCCAGTTTAGAGGTGTGGTTATTCTACAAATAAATATAAATGTATTTAATATTTCCTCCTTGTTTACACAGGATTCACCAGAATCAGACATTGAACGAGAAAAGGACAAAAAAGAAAGAGAGAGGGAGAGCGAAAAGGATAGAGTTAGGCAAAGATCTGAATCAAAACATAAATCTCCTACTAAAAAGCGACCTGGAAAAGATTCTGTAAGCTTTCCTGTTTCTTTTTCATCTGGTGCTTTACAGGCATAATGTAAGGTGCTAGAGCTTTATTCATGTCCTGCTTCCATTTATATATATAAAAAGTGCCAAATGCAACACCTGCCCTCTAGAATTTTAGTAGCTGCAGTGCTGGGCTAACACTGGGAGGAAATCTCAGTGGAAGAGAGTTCTGCAGCCCTTGCACTTTTCAAGCTGGCAAGTCCTGTGGGAGCATGTTTGTGATTGCAGTCCTGCCTTTGGCTGCCATGCTGTGCTCTCTGGCTTGTTTTGGAGGGGTTTACAAGAGTGTTTGAGAAGATGCATACAAGTGTTTGAATGAAAAAGGCAAACTGCTTGTGGTTCAACATTTTTTGGGTCTCTTGGAGGGGGAGTTTTTTGCCTCTGGTTGTTTAGATTGTGGTGGTGGTGGCCTCCTCCTGGGTAAAAACCCATATATTCCACCTTCAAGTTGAGATGTCAGGGCAGGTGTCTACTTCTTACGTTATTGTCTTAAAATAAGCTGCTTGGGCCTCCAGCTGCCTTTGGAAAGTGCAATGACTTGGCCTAATGTGGGCATTTCCTGAGAACTTGGGTTTGAGCTTGGGTGTGATAGAGCAGAGTCTACAGGAGGACCAGAGCTTAGCTTGCTGTGCCTCCTATGCCCTCCCCACTTGTTCTGGCTGCCACTGTCGGGGCTCCTGAGCATGATACGAGCAGCCTCCTGTACCTTGTGTTCCTGTATTGCTGCCATGGCACTGGGATAATGTCTGGGCACAGGTGGCACCACTGATGACCAACATGGCCTGGAAGCCCCATCGTTCCAGCCACTAACTTTGCTTCTTTCTGCAGGGGAACTGGGATACTTCTGGCAGTGAACTGAGTGAAGGGGAGTTGGAAAAACAGAGGAGGACTCTTTTGGAACAACTGGATGAAGATCAATGAGAGCATTATTTATACCAAATATGTTTACATTGTGGCATAATAAAAGAAACCAATGTCTAATTCAGGACGCGGGTTCTGATATCCTGAGTTCCATTGCTGAAATAACAGTGGGTTTTAATTTTACCACATAAATGTATTTGAGTACTACTATTATGGGCTGGCATCAAATCTAGAGAAGCAAATGAAATTCCAAGTGCAAAGCCGAGTGTCCGTCCTGGAGCTGCCAGGCAGCGTGGGTGCTCTGCTCACCACGGAGGGAGTGCTCCGCAGGGAACACTGCCAAGGAAGGCGGCGCGGTGCTCACTGGATCTTGTCTGCAGGCCCAGGGAAGTGTTGGCTCCTTCCTAGCAAAGCATCGCCTCAGTCCGGTCCTTCCTAGAAAGGTAGTAACACTGGTCGTCTGGTCCGTGTAGGCAGGTAAAATTTCATTTGTAGAAAGAGATTCTTAATATAGTTTCTTGTGGTTTAATTTGTTTGATGGATTTGTGCTTATTTTGGGGAGGGGAAGGCAATGGGAGTAAAGGATCCAGTTCTTGACCTGTACCGCTAAAACGTACCCGCTGTCACAATTGCTCTTTTGTGAACTGCGTCACTGGCCAAGCCACATGTAAGCTTTTGTACAGACACCTGACATCTGGCTCAGGCTTGAGTCTAATACTGTCTGAGTGAGTTTTTCCTGTAGATTTTCAAAGCCCTAGACCTGCAGTTGATGGGGATGTTGACTGACCCTCCCTTGCGGTGCCAGCAGGGGGGTGCATGCCTCACAACTGCCTTGGGTTCCCCTAACACCCCATTCCAAGCAGCCATGGGCATTACATCAGTGTTTATCTCCACATGAACAAGATCTAGTAATAAAAATCACTGTAAATTAATCTCAATGTGTTGCCTTAAGAACCTGCTGAGGAATGTGCCACCACCTTGGGCTGCTGCCCGGCCCCCTTGTGCTCATCCCTGGCCAGCTGCTTGAGGGGGGAGGATTCCCAGCCATACCAGGGGAGTGGTGGCTACCAGGTCAGACCAAGGTCAGAAGCTGTTCCCATTGGTCTATTTTTGTACATTTTTATTGATGATTAAACCTTCTCTTCCAGTGTGTACTAGTACTCATTTCTACTTTTAAAGGCTCTGTACAGCTCTGATAGGTTATTACCGTCTTCCACATTTTGGATTTAAGCAACATAGTCGCTCACACCAACAAGGGGAAGACGAGTTGGAGTTCAGCTTCCTTCACTGCATTTTTTTAACCCTGTTACCAGACAGCAGTTACTAGTGCATAAATCCCTGAAAGGCCTGATTTGTACAGCATGCTTTCCTGGGCCGGTTCTGATTCAAACTAAGAATGCTACTGCACTGAAATTACTAATTTGCAATAGGAAATTCTGGTGATGGATGATCCCTGTGGATTGGCAGAGTAACTGATAACTTTGGGCTTCTCAGGAGGCTCCATGTGCCAATATCGGCGTTTCCCCTGGAGTGAAGAATACCTGAGTTTGGTCAAACAGGACTTGAGTAACTGTTATTGTGTGGCATAAAGCTGGTGGTGGCAGCTTTTCCAAGTTCCCCCACTGCAGAGCAAGTGGCTCTCCTGTGCTGGGGAGGGTGGGTAGCACTTGATCCTCCCAGGTCTGCCACCATTTCATAAGTGTGTGTTTTGTGAACTGTGTAAATTCCCTTTCCTAGGTAGAGATTTAAAATGGAAACACACAGCTTGTGTAGCCCACAGCACTGCCTGGGTGCAGAACAGCTCCACAGGGGGGTAATGGCGTGACGCAGGTGACACAGCACTGGGCTGCAAGGAACAGCAGCTGAGTGCTGAAGCTGTCAGCTGTAAGAGTTCGCAAATGTGTTAGAACTTCTGCACAGTATTTTGTTACTGCCTTGCATTTGTGTAACCACCCTAAGGAAAAAGTGTTTCTGAGTAAATACTGCTTTTAAAAGGTTTGCCTTTATTTTTCCATTAAAAATAAAAAAAACCCACAACTATGACTTTAAATTACTCTAATGGGTTTTTTTTTTGTATGTCTTTAGCAAAATCCAGTTAAGAAATGCATCTTAAAACAAGACTGCTTTTAAATAATCCTAGCAAGGCCTAGTTTAGTTTTTTAAGGGAAATGAGTTTGGACTTTTGTGTAGGTTGTTCTCTTCAAGTTCAGGCCTTCTGTTTGTCCAGTTGGGGTTTGTTTCTTTATGGCAAACTACTTACTCGTTGTCACTCACTTTCACAAGGAGGGGTGGCACCTGCAGCTGTGCTGGGCCTGCAGGGCTGTGTTCCAGTGCCTGTTGTCTCACAGTGCAGGCTTTGACCAGGGATCCAGAATTCATCCCTTCTGCCTCCTGTGAGTCAGGCTGTGCTGTAGCCAAGGGTGAACTAATGGTGTGAATGACCTGGAGAATTATTTCCAGCATTTACCATTGGTAGTGGAGCTCAGGAAGTGAACTCTTGGATCCCAGTGCGTGGGGGCACTGCTGGGGGATGTCTTCCTCTCCCAACTCCAACAGCCCCAAAGAATCACACTGCACTGCCAGCACAGTCACTTCTGCCCTGCTGCTGGCTCCCAGCCATCACCTGGCACATGCCACCCTTTGTTAAAACATGAAAGTGGCCCAAAAACCACCCCTCTGGATTACTGTGTAGTAGTGTAAATAGTTTATTTGATCTTATGCCAGGAACAGACCAGGAAAGTAACATGAACTGCTTTTATAAAACACTTCTAATATTGCTAAGAAGCAGGTCTATTACTAGAAAAATATGAAAGAGAACATGCCAGCATTATATTCAAGCTGTATGATAAATTTTGCCTTCAATTAAAAAATGACCTTTGAGCTTAAGCCTGTGAGAACAAGTGCTTTTAACCCTTTGTCTAACGATTGATTAAATTAATGGTCAAATTTTCTTATGCAGATTAAAATACTCTTCTGTCACTGCCCGTGAAGAAGGAGGTGGGTTGGCATGTTCTCTTTAGCTTGTCAAGTACACGTTGCTGTAAATGCAAGAAGGTGGCAGTTTTCAAAGTAAACTTCCTGTAAATAGGTAAGCAGAGGTCAATGTGGTAACTCTGAGCCCCAAACTGTCCATTTAGTTAAATATAAAAACAAAAACTATAAGTTAAAATAACATTCAGATTGTATAGCACAGGCTGATGCATTTCTTTTTAAACAATATTTACAGTATTACCCAGAGGCTAAAGTGGGAATAAAAGAGAAGTGTAAAAACCATACAAAACTGCACCAATTTTGTAGCAAAATATCTGTACATTTAAAAACAGATTATCATATAACTACACATTATCCAAGAAAAAAAATGGGACCTTCACCAGTGGTTCACATAAGCACAACATAAAAGAAAAAGAAATTCAGTGGTTAAATACTATACAATAAATTTTACAATTAACATGTTGATGCGATGAGACCAGGCAAGGTAAGCTGTAAGCAAAATGTATCTTGGGAAGTTCAGTTCAGTCCAGTTCTTTACGTGTGAGAAGATCGCGTGCCCTGCCAGCACGAGCTCAGCTTTGTCTTGCTGCTCAGGGATTCTGGTGCAGACCAGCAGTGCGGGGCGCAGCATGTGGCTACAGTCACTCTCACGTCCCTTTTCTCTTTAAAAAGCAATGTAGAACCTACAACCTAACAAGATTTTTAGGCTGGGCTTCCATTTGCTGACCAATGGTCTGGAATTTGAACCAGCCTGTCCAAGGAACTTTGCATTGGAGCAGGGTGTTAATCCAACAGAGCAGGGCAGAGGATGGTTCTCTGCACAAGGAACTGAGCCACGACCGTCCTCAGAATCCTAATGCTGATTATTGAGATGTTAATACCTTAGTGCTAATTAATAAATACACTGTTATTCCAAAGCTGATGCTAGCTGGAGAGCCTTTGCCACCCTCCTCACCCTGTGCATTCACCAACGCATTTGCCCCCAGCACCTCCAAGGCCTCAGCCCCGCACTGCACACCACAACCACCGCAGCTGAGGGGTGAAAATTCGTGTCCGTTTGCTGCACACCTGATGCTCACTGATGTACCTGGTAGCACAGCCTAGCTACAGTGGCACGGACTCTGGGTGGTGGAAAAAGGTACGGGTCTCTTCCTGGAACAATTCTGTATTACCTATAGAAAGCCCTTAAATGTCTTCCCTTTTTTTTTGTTGTTTGGTTTTTTGTTATAAAAAGGAAAAAGCCAGTAAGTGTGGCTGAAGCCAAGGTTCACCCCTCGGTGGACAGCACAGGAATGCATTCGAAAGCAGAGCAAGTCCAGGTATTCCCTGTTTACAACTGGTCGGGATGCAGGTCAGGTCCACAGGAGACCAGTCACTAAACTTTTTTATAACCAAACCAAACTAAACACCCAAACCAACACGGTATTTTACATTTTGGTTAAAAATACTGAATAATGTATTGGTGTAAAAAGATACCCAATCAAATCAAGTCCTATTGCTTTGATCAATTTGAGCAGGTACTTTAGGCACTTGTTAGCTACAGTTGACTGGAGAGCCCATTACTGACGGTCCTATGCATTTTCTAGGTCTTGGAGCCCTTTAGAAAGGAAATTTTACCATTCCCCAGGCTGTAAAGGAGTGGCAGAACATAGAGCTGACACGGACAAGGTATCATGCAAGCACCCCCTTTCCTTGACACCTGCAGGCCTCCAGCTCACATGGTTATCTCAGCACCGTTTGCAGAGCGCAAGTTCTGATCATCGAAGCGCCGCCTGACACTTCTCCTCACCGCGTCGGCCCGTCGGTACGGCTGGTTTCTAAGATCTGCAGAGAGGAAAGCGGCGTTCGTGAGCACGCACGGCTCACCCCACCACACACACACACACACACACCACACACACACACACACACGCAGTCTAGACAAGGAAAAGTCCTGCTGGAAGCCAATCAAAGCAGCTTGTGTAGGAACAGGAGAAAGGACTTCACCCCAACCAGAGCAGAAGTGAGCAAATACTGACGTGCCCTTTTACTACGCCCCCAAGCAGCGGGTAATACTGGTGAAATGTGCCAAAATGCTGGCAAACTAACTGGAGTTAGGCTGACAGGTTGGTCTGACCGTCTCCCCGCCCAGGGGCCATTACTGTTTGTTAATGTCAGTCAGAAAGGCAACATCAACTGAAATCAGTTTGCATGATACACATCTTGGTCCTTCACACAGCTTCTCAAACACCAGGGTGCGGTGAAGGGGATTTCTAGGGCAGGATGACATGTGACACACTGGAGACGTGTGACCCATTGTACAGTGGTGCAAGTCACAGAGTAGATCTACAATCCCTATGTACCCATTTATCTAAAAGAGGGTGCCCTGAGATAAAGCAGCTGCAACTGGCTTGCAGAGCTCCAGCTGCCATCCTGCCCCACTGGCACAATCCTGCCAGGCTGCAGCGGAAGAGCCAACCCCCTCCCTCCTCCTGGACCCAGCCTGCTGCTGCTGCTGTTGCTGCTGCTGCTGCTGCTGCTGCTGTTGGGAGGTGGGAGCTCAGAGGGAAGAATAGGTGACATGAAACATGCAATGGACTGAAGAGTGGAGGAAGCTGGAGATGGACATATTGATGAAAGCCTGTTACATGTGCTGTTACATGGCTGGCTAGGCTATAATAAGCACATCTGGGACACCTTAAGACTAACTCAAGCTGGAAAAGAAATTTGTGTTGGACTTGGAAAAGCCCTTAAATGTTTTGGTTTTTTTTTTTTGCATTAGACTGGGCAAACCCTCCCTCCAATTTCCTGGATGACTTATGCCTTGCCTAAAATACAGCTCCCAAACTTGTCAGCTCTTGGTGTACCTAGCAGACAGTGCCTCTTTTCGAGGCTGCCCTCTCCAGTCTCCATGCTCCAAGCTGCTGGCTGTCCATCTCTCCTGCCCTGTTCAGTGGCTGTAGTAGGGCCAAGACAGGGGCAGCAGAGTATTCAGGGCTAATGTGGGTCTGAAACAACCTGGGGACAAGACTGCCTACCTCAGGCTAAACTAGGAAGGGCCAAAATGGAAAGAGCGTGAAGACGGTCCGCAGCCAATGGCCTGTGGAATCCCTGCACCACAGAGGGTGAAAATAAAAGCCTCGGTCTCCACTGGCCCTTAGGCTCTCACCAGTATTACGCTTAGCCACATCTACCAACAGGCTGTCTGGCAGACAGAGAGAGGAGGAAGCTAAGTAAAAAGTGATGCTTGCCAGCTCTGTGTATCCTCCACCACCGGTGTGCTAGAAGAAATCCTTACCCTCGAGTGAACATTTGGAAATTTAGTGATATTATTCTTCTTTAGGGCTAAACAGAAAAAAAAACAAAACAAAAAAAAACAAAACAAAACACAAAATGATGGTTAAGTAAAAAATGGGATGGAAAATGAAGAGCAAGTCAACTCAGCATTCAAAACTCCCAGGCACATTAGCCAACAGAGCAAGAGGGGGGAGGCCAAGGCTATAAGAGGAGGTTAGACACAGAGAGGAAAGGACAGGAGGGCCACCCTCGCCTTTCACTAACCAAATTCCAAGCTGCTTTGAAGATTGGCTCCAGGAAGATAATACTGCAATTAACTTGAAAGAGCAAGTAACTGTTGAGCTGATAATAGTTTGCAATTTTATTAGAAGCATTCATAAAAATACATATCATAGAAGTGAAACACTGTTGTCTTCTTAAGCCACAGAGTCCTTAATTCAAGACAACAGTGTTAAGAGACATGCTGGGTTAAACACACCCTTCTTACACTTTACACCACATGATGTAAACTGCTCAGTTCCATGTCAAGTTTTTCATTGTCACCATTTCTGCAGTTCTGGCATGTACCAAAGTGTTTTCCCAGCTCTGCTCCTTCTCTCTCCCCCCTGGATCACATACCGAGCCCAATGCCAGCACTGCCAAAAGTCCAAGTGAATTGGAACTGGTTAGCACTCAGTGCACACTTCTGATTTTCTTTAGATCAAGTTGGCATGGAACTGAAAAGAGTTAATTATGGATGTGACCAAATGAGAGAAGATTTCATGCTGTTTATTTTATCCTATATCTCACATGCAGACAAACATGCAGGTGTTGGTTAAGAAGTCTAAAATGTGATACTCCTCACAGAGGACGCAGGTTATTGCAGACAACCCTTCCAAGACAGAAAGCCAACCCCAAGAAAGTCCCACTTAGTTCATGCCACTTGTAATTTTGCTTTGGCATATAGCTGATGTATTGCATGCATTTTACATTGGTAGACTGGCAGACAGAGAAAGATCTGTAGGCCAGAAGAGATGACATAGAAAAGCCAAGGGAACTGTCACTTCTTGACTGCATTTGATCTCCTAAGTCTTGTGAACTGTAGGAAACCTGCACCACATCTACTGTGACTTCTGCCACTTGCTGTTCTATGGTATTTGTAATGAGGGTGAGAGATGCCTTTGAAACGCAAGGATGGCCAAAAGCATCAAGTGCAAAGTTGATGGGATGGAATAAAAAGTTACTGAAACACAGACATGCAACAGAGGTGATATAAATACAATTTCAGGTGACGCTGGACATTACTATACACTCAACATTCACATGATCCTGGCTGAGATCCGTACAAATGGAGAAGTGTCAAAAATCTACAGCAACCTTTCTTTTTTCTAAGAGCATCAGATGTGAAAGAGGAATAGTTTAGTAATGGAATTCCTCAGTGAGAACAGGTTCGCAGAAAAACCGAGAGCCCCGCTTGGCGGTTCGAGCGGTAAAGGGCACAGTCTTCAGCACTGCATGGGAATAACAGCCAAACAGACAAACAGAGCCATGAGAAGCAGATCTATTGCATTAGTACAGTGTTAGTGCTCAGTTACGGACACCCAGGGAGAGTTTCACATGTTCCTAATAGTTCACATGCCTAATAGCACTGCACTTCAGTGGGCTTTCAACGAGGCAGTTGCAAATCTTTGAATAAGCATTTCTTATATTACATCATTTTCAACTAGTTTGAGAGACTACTGCTAAATGTGCCCCAGAAAAGGGTGTGGTGCTAGACAGAGCTCTGCTGTGAATCAGCAGAGCTTTCTTGTGTATCCTATGCACAACACTTTTGATCATTTCCATACCATTGACAGGGATCTCACAGGCAGTATTCACCTGACCTCAGTCCTACCTGACTTTTTGTGCCTTTTAGTATTACTTTATTATTAGTCTGGCACTCCCCCCACTGGACTGCCTTTAGAATGTGGATGGTCTTGTGCCACACAACCTGTTTCTCCCACAAAGCAGAACACTTTACCAATTAAACAAGCTTCCAGGAGTCTGCAGGAGTTGTAGAAGCAGTAACAGATTAGATATTATAGCAACTCTGCCCCTTAAATTAAGAATAGGATCTTAGGAAGCTATTAATCAAGGTTAGAAAGAGTTGTGAAAGCTTCAAGCATTTCAGCCCTGTCATCCAGTTGGGCAAGAATTCCCTGGGTTTCCTTAGTCAGTGGTAAAACAGCTCTCCTGTCCTCCTACAAGAAAAACTTTCAGGAGCAGTAGCCAAGGAAATCCTACCCAGTGAACTTTTTTTGAGCTTCTGTGGCAACAAATGACTGTTAAGCTACAGAAATATTAAAATCCTGCTCCTTCCACACCACAGGTAAAGAACACGCAGCAAAATCATTGCAATACAGTACTGCAATCAGAGCAGCTGTACAAACTAAAAATTATCTGATTCCTAGGCAAAATGCAGTTCAGAAGGTGTCTCTTTTTATCAGCAAATACTTGCACCGAAGTCCTGACTGTGTTGGGCTCCAACAGTGGGTTCTGTACCTCTCCCTCCAACCCTGGGTTGGGATCAGTGCAGACTTTGCCTACCAGTCTGAGAAGCAGTAAAACCAGAAGCAGTTTAGGGTCATAAATCATTCAGGTTTGACTAAATGATTCGCTGTAACTGTGCAATAATGCGGTGCAATTACTGTTAGTACATTTTAATGAAAATGTAGGCTCTTAATAATGTTAAACATCTGTCATTCGTTCCATTTATGGGGAAAAAAGGTTTCTGGGAAAGATCTGCACGGCATGCATATCCCCATCGGAGCATCTGCTGAGATCAGGCACTGAGCTGGCTACTGTAAAGATCAGTGAATGAGTATGACCCACATGCTAAAAGAGAAGAACTAAGAAACCAAGTGTGTGTCTGAGGTGTGTGCACTGGCATCGGATACCTGAGGGCAGGTTATTGGGGTTTGTTTGTTATGTACCATTAGCAAAGGTTTCTATGCTTGCTTCACATCATATAAACACTCTCCTAAGCTCAAGTAATGGTTTTTCAGGAAGTAGAAGAAGCACTTACAATAGTGACTAGGCAAATACACATTTTTATCCACTGTGAAAGGGCCTCTGAGATTACAGAACAAAAGGCAGTTACCTGTTATAATATCTTCAATAGCACCATCCTTCCCTTCATATACATGTCTGTTATCCTTGACTTGCCGCCGCCTGAGCTCTGCAATCAGCTCTTGCTGCTGTCTCTTTGTTTTATGTGAAGGAGACTGAAAGAAAAGAAGAGAGGATTTGTAAGGCCTGACCTCCAGCTATCCTGTTTCTCTTTTGCTGAGTGTGAAACACCAGGTGATTGCACTGGTAGCAACAGAAACTGCCAGTTTTCTGCCCAATTTTGCAAGACCGGGAGAACATGGCAGTTAGCTCACATCCCATGAAGAGGATGGACAGAGTCACAAGTTAACCTGGCTGCCAAGCTTCTTATATTTGTAGCCTATTTCCAAGCCTTCTCAGCTTGGAACTGGAGCTTCAAGCTGTCACCCCTGAAAAGCATTAGGGGAATAAGGAGAACCATCTTTCCTTCTGAGGGAAAAAGCGTGGCTGGAATTAAAGATCCCAACAACAGCTGCTGGAAGCAGCACCAGCTGATAAAATGTCTGTTTTAGAGCCATGGGAACCTCCAGCAAATCTGAAATGTTAACTCAAAAAAAAAAAAAAGAGGAAAGTCAGGAAAATACCTACAAAACAGTAATGTGGAGCTCACTCCTGCCACCAAGCCCTGACAGGTTAGGACTGGGGAGGATTGTTCCTTGTCCCAGTAAGCGATGGGAAGCTCTGCACACTGAACACCCGCTGGATTTAACAAATATAAGGCCAGAGAAGAATGAAGTTTAGTTAATGGCAGTGTGGACGAGATGACTTTCTCAGTCATTTAATTTTATTTCATTCAGTTTTTCTTAATTTTGCAGACTTCAAAAGTAGCAGAACCATACACCATAACGCTTCCATCTTATTTCAGTTCTCTCTATGTAAGAAGAAAAAGTCCACAGACCCTATTTCTAGGGAGCTGTAAATTGGGCAACTAAATTTCTTACACAGAGATGAAGTTTCTGAACTTTCTAAGAAAAAAAATGAGATGGCTCCTGCCAGTTAAGATGTATCTATCTGTTTCTTACCTTTTGGTCCTGTTGCTCCATCAATGCTTCCTGCTCCATAAGTTTTTCCATTAAGGCCTGTTCCTGCTTTTTTCTCAATTCATTCTCTTCTTCTGCTTGCTATTTATCACAAAAAAACCCAGAGGTTATAGCTTTCAATTGCTACAGGGAACCTAAAAATTACAAATTAGTAGCACTATCACTTGCTACCATGGGGCTTTCCAAGGAAGAAAGATCAGGCACAGCAACTTAGCTGCCTTTCAACACAGTCTGAAATCACTAGGCTGGGAGAGACCTTCCTAGGTTGCACAAACCATCCTCTCCCAGTCTCAAAAGATACGTATTCAGTGTTAAAGGTGTAAGCTGCAGCCACTCAGACATTCTGAGGATTCCTCCAGTATCCCAGACAGCCCTGTTGTCTTTCAGCCCTGAAAATAATCCCAAAACAACTACTTGTGATGCCTCTGGCTGTTGCTGCCGTGCTGTCAGGAATAGTTTACACTGCGTCAAAGCTAGAGGGAGCCATAAGGTGGCTTGTTGGGAGTCTGGAGCCGTGCAGGTACCAAATTGGGTTTGGAGGGACCGAAGAGGACGATGCTCCATTTACCTTGTAGGCCTTCACAAACCGGACAAACACCGGGAAGAAGACAGAGGGGGGTGTCGTCTTGGGATTCTCCCCGAAATACTTCACAGCATCATCAAAAGCGTCCTACAAAAAGCACAGATTTACTGCATAGCATGTATTTCCAGATAAACTCCCCATCCATTACTGCAGTATTCAGTATAAAGCATCCAGATTTCATCTGCATATGAAACCCCTGGCTCAAACTAGCACATCTACATCTAGCACTTGAACACAAACCATTCTACAATTCTAACATTGCTGCACCTTCTCATCCCTGCTGTATATATAAAGCACTTCCAGTGACATGCTACTATTCACTGTGTCACTTGCACACTAAGAATAAGTAAATACCTGGGCTATTTTGGCGTCATCCTGCAGTTTCTTTAGCTTCCCTTCATTGTTCTGAATGAACTCCTTCAGCATCGTGTTGTGGTCATGCATGGTGTACTCACGCTTTGTCAGATCCAGGCCCCTCTGCAGCTCCTTCACATCCAAGAGGACATTTTCAAGAGACACTGGGAAATGAAATAAAAATGCTGCATCATTCCTGCTGTGCAACTGCCTGAAGCTTGAACAATTCCCCACCAAGAAGAGCTCCCATAGTATGAGGTGAAGTCCCTTGCATGGCATGCATGCCACCACCACTCATCAGGGACAGAAGGGTCACAGTACCTGCAGCAGCCTTCTCCACGTAATGAAGCTCATTGTAAAAGAGGGATACGTGTTGGTACTTCTCCTTGACCACATTAGAAATATAGTGCAGCAGAGTCTGCTTTCGGTCTGTTGACTTCGTTTCTAGAAGCTGGGGAGAAAAGGCAAAGAGATTGTTGGGTGGAGGCACAGGAGGCTCCAAGCAAAGGGACTCAGCCAGAGCTTCTCCATCTGATAGGCATGGCTACAAAAGCTCATTCAGCTGTTTAGGAGGTAGCTTTCAAGCTGTGGTCTGCAGGGCCTCTGAAGACATGCGCCTTCTCCTAAGCAGCCCCCCAAAATAACAATAAGCAAAGCAAACTTACACCCCCTGTCAGGGAGTGCTTTGCCCGCTGCCACGGTCTTGTCTTCACCATGTGCCCCCAGAAGCCACTCTTGCCATGTACATGAAACGTGTTGCCACACCCAGTGCCCAAAAGGCACCTCTGGTTTACTTACCAGGTCTAAACTCTGTAGCTTAAATCCATACACAGCTCCTCGTTTACTGCTGTTCATGTAGTTTCCAAGAGCCAAGATTATCTGCCAAGATAGAACAGAGGATGAATTTTCAGGACAAATGCATGGTGCTTTAAAAACCTCTGGAAGGAGAGCTTCAGTGTCAGCACTCATGTACTGTTTCAGTACATGTAAGGGGACACACCAGTGAGTGATGGAGCCATTGAACATATCTAACATCACACCTACCTCCAGTATTTTCTTAAGCTTTTGGGATGATTTTATGGAGACAGATGCAGCTATTACTGCATGAAGTTGCTGCAGGTAAAGACAGGAAGTGCTTTGGTTAATGCATGTCCAACCCAAGAGTAAAATTAAAATCTAAAAAACTCTGAAAAAAAAACCTCTTGTTTTTCATGCATCCTGTGGGCCCTAGCATGAATGTTCTCCTGCCCTGACACATCAGGATTTCCAACAATTCATTTGCACCGCAGATTTACCACACTCAGATGCAGTTGGGTAAACCCATATTTACATTTCAATCCTCATGACTGTGAAAGATGCATCAGGCTGGGTGGTACACACTTCAAAGAGCCCACGGGCCAGCACTGATGATAACTTTCCCTAACAGCCCAGGCTATAAGCTGCTGTACAAACAGCCCCTGGGATACTAGAGTCACTGCTCTATGAAAATAGAGCTAGAAAACCACTTTTTCATGACTGTGTTTCTCATTCTGTCCCTGTCAGAGCTCGCAACTGCCCCACAACACTTGGAACAATCTCCATGTCTTAGAAAAATTAAAATCTCTATAATTCTCTCTGACCACTCTACACCCTGTAACGCTCCCCACAAGCTGACCCATGCTGCACAGCACAGCTTTCAGGCAGTGGCTGAACCCCATGCATCACCCCGGTGTCCCCAAGGGTTGCCCCTCACTCACTGGGGTCAGCATCTGGATGCTTTCTGCAAAGTTGCCTATGAACGCCATGATGGTCATCTTCTGCATCAGCCTCTCAATCTTGCTGAACTGCATCATGAACCGGTCTTCGTCAGACAGGTTCTCGATGGGTTTCCTTTCCCGCTCATAGAGCCGCAACACTTTCACTTCGTTCTCGGTGGGCAGGAACCGCATGAGGCATTCAACAAAATCCACCGGCAACGTTTTCAGGTCAAACCTGCGTGATAACAAACCGAAAAAAGTGGTGATAGGACAAAGCTCTACATAAAATGATGGAAAAGTAAAAGAAGAGAGAAAGCTGCCAAAGGCAGCTCAGCTTCCTACACTGCTCAGCTGCACATCAGCCTGAGTCAGTAAAGCAATAGGAAACTATGAAGATGCTGTGAAGTGACTCTTGCTCTTGTTGCCCTGGCTGGGTCTGGGGACACAGTCCTGCATGTGAAGCTCTCTGCACATGAAGATGTGAACAAGATCACTGTGCTGATGTGAATGGTGCTACTGGGCACCCTGTTTCTGTTTCCAAAGAATTTTCATCAGAGAAGATAGGCAGGGAGGAGCAAACAGCTGTTTTATTCAATTGGGCCAGAGCCCTGTAAACCTCAACAGCCAAACTGCATCAATCTGCAGCAGGTTTGGGTCACCCTCCTCACCAGATCAAATTTAACAATTGTGCATCCAAACTTTGAAGATATTCCTCACTGGAGAAATGGCAGATGTTTGTCATGGCCACAAGTACTAAATGCTTTTGGATGGATTCAGGATCAGCCCCACAGAGCAGGTATACCTGAGACCTACTGGAGTCAGCTGGCAACAGTCCATATCAGCATGGGATGAGACACACCTGTATTACATTGGGGTTTGGCACTGCCTGCAGCCATTACATAAACCTAATTCTATGAAAAACCTTCTTCTGCACTTGGACTAAACTCGTGCTTCATGGAGCAAAACTAAAATAATTGCCTCTTCCTGATACTCTGGCTTTTGAGTGTTCACTGTAACAGAAAATACCGTGCAAACAGAACAAGAGATGCGGTATGTAGTGGCATACTCTGTATATATATGAATTTGCTTCTTTAATAAGAGAAGTGTTAATTTGATAAGCCTCAATAGTGATACAGTGACATAAAGCTGCAAGTTTTAACTTTTAGTTCAAGGGAATCTGATTTCTGGGAACTCAGAATGGTTCCATCCTTACTCCTGGATTTTCTCCAGATGCAAAAACATTTACATCAACTGCCGGTTCAAAACCATTCCACTTACCAAAATCACAGTAAATCTTGAATATGATTTCTTTGCTGACAAGTGTTTTACTTACACGTGAATAGCTTTGCATATTTCATCTGCTGTCTTTCCAGCTTTTCTTAAAGTAATAGCAAGATTTTTTGCCCTGTTGGCATCCAGTAATGTGACTTTGTTTGACCCTTTCTGAGTTATCTTTTGCTTGCTTGAAGTAAGATCAATGGCTGGACCTTGGGCTTTTGTTTTAAATATTTCTTCAAATTCATCCACATTTAAATCCTAAAAAGGAAAGAAAATGATTTATCCCTCCTGCAGCGAACACTAAAACCCATGCTGCCTAATATTGTGCCAAAACTACAATAAAAACCTTGCGGTGGCTGAGACTATAGCAGAGTATTTCAGTCAGGGGCTGCAGATGAAACCACCATGCGTTCCTGAGTTACTGATCAGGAAATGTGGCCTCTTCCCCCAACAGCCCTATACACGTTCAAAAGTTCAGGAAAACACTCATGTTAGCACTTGTGCTTTATCCAGCCACGTGGATCTTCAGGGCACAAGGAGCATGCAAGACCTGCATGCTCAGCTCTGCTCTCTGCTGCTTTAGGCTTCGTTCCCTGGCATGCAGCCACCACCCAAGCCTAACTCCTACAGACTGATCAGCAATTTTAGGCTGGGAAAAAATAAATCATTCTCATCTTGGATCATCTGTTTTAAACAAATGCACACAACAGGTATGCACCCTTTACTATCAGTACCACTAGCTACCATCCCTAATTCTCAACCAAGGCACTCATGCTGACCCATGGGGCACCAGGGCCTACTGGATGAGCCATCTGGCAACACAATTGCTGGAATCACCGATATTCACTTGTGTTATGGACACAAGTAGGAGCAGAAGGCAGCAAGTAGCATTCATACCTCCAGAATCCTTTCGTCATCTATTTCATTGAAGACCGTCCCATTAATCTGGTTGGGTTTGAGGGCAACCCAGTTGAACACTGGCATGCGGAATTTGGTCTTGATTGGCTTCTTGATTTTCACAGCTAAAGATACCAGAGGAGAGGAAATGACAAATTCTCCCAGCAAAAACACCCCACATGCCTAGACTGCACCTTTTGAGTCGGGATTTCAGCACTGGAGGAAGAACCGGCCAGAGCTAAATTTTCACACTCAAAACCTGGAGAGATCTTGCTGCCTGGATAGGCAAACAGTGCCGAAAGGCTTTCATCCAGCCCTTCATCTCTTTCAGGCCCAGGCTCTGCAGAACAGGACTAAATGCCAGACACTGTGACAACTTCACTAAACGAGATGTGTTATTAATTTATTACTGCATGATGATGGATTGATTTAAAAGCCTGGGCTATATTTAAACACTACAGAAAATGGAAAGAGTGGTCCAATTTAACCCTGTCCTGCTTGTTGCAGAGCCCACCCCCATGTGAACTGATGCACAGGCATGCGCAGCTGATCTGTCACCTCTGTCACAAAACTCAATGCAGAATAGGTGCCAAGAAGGAAAGAAAAGCCCCTTTCCTAAGGTTTCGGCATAGGGAGCAGCCCCTCCCATTGCCTGTTGCAATGGGGCATTACTGCTTCTCACCAGGTTTGTCTTTTCAAGCAAAAAGAGGTAGGCTGCAGCACACATGAGCTTTAACATGGTTGAAATAACTGGTTTAATAATCTTCCTGTGCTGTGCAGAACCAGTAAACTATTTAGTAAGTTACACAGATAAGCTATGAATACTGACTACTCATCAAGAGTACAGAAAAGTGATGTCACAGCAACACGTTTCTATTTCTATTGCAAACAGGTCTGGAAGGCACATGAATAATTTCTGTAACTGAGTTCTCATTTCTTTGTATCTTGATGTAAACATGAAGTTGGTAGTTGCTACAAAACCAGGTTGCTCATTAAAGTCATCAATCAATGTTTTGCTTCTGAAGTACTGAGAAAATAAACTGTTTCTTTCCAAGCTGCAAACATGAAACAGAAACCCTGGTTCTTCCTCTCCATTGCTGGAAAAAAACAGCCATTTGGTTGGTGGCAGAGGGGAGGCAGAGGTACCCCTGCCGGGGATGCCCAGCCCCGCAGCACACCTAAACAGGTTCACCGCTACCCCCAGGTGAGGATGGATCATGTCTGGTTTTGTGCAGTCCAGTGTTTGCTCCTCACTTATGCCTACCCTGCACTTGTAGCATGAGTGATCCTGCCAAGTATTCCATGCTTTGTAGGGTTGCCAGATTTTTGTCCCTCCATTTCAGAAGATTCCAGGTTCTCAGGTTGCAAAGCACTTGAGCAAGTAATCATTTTACTTTTCCATAATGATTCTGTGTGCATGTTTTCGCCAGGACAGAAACAACCTACTTCAGGACACAGTCCCGTTGTGCACTGGAGTCTGGTGAATGCTGAAAACATTTCTCTTGCTTTGTCATTCCACTTTAAAAACAAGAATCAAGTTGTGTGTCCATGTCCCTTTCATGCTCATGCTCATTTTGCAGGGACATCACAAAAAATAAATTACTGGCAAGAGTATTTGCTTGAAACAAAGAACCATAAGTGAACAACAGGGAACATACACAATATTCAGCTGTGTATTTTGGGAATTATGCTTATTCAACTGGAAGACACGAACACACGTGATCGACTTCTGCTCATCTAAACTAAACAGAATTTTACTCTTTAATTAATGTGGTTACTTCAGAATAATCCCTAAAATGAAAAAAACCTTGCTTTTTCCATCTGAAACAACCATTGAAAAAAAAAACAGAATTTCCGCTTGCACATGTATTAGAATAGATTATTAACTGCTTCTGGGTTATTTTAGGACAGGAAAGGAAGCTAACTGCCTCATGGGCCAGTTCCTGATATAGCTAATCAAAACCTCTTAAAATTTCCCTTCCTCCTCCACTATAGAGCCCTGGCAAGGTGACATTCCCAGGAATCGTGCTGCTGCCAGCCATGCAGTGGGAATACGGTCATGCTGGGGACCAGGCCCTGCAGAGGGTACTCGCCACTGGCAAGAGCTGCTGCAGCTTCACACTTGGCCTCCCTGGGAAAAGCCCATCCTTGGTGTGACCAGTACAGACAGCTTAGCTTGAGTGTGGCTCAAAAGAAACCATGTGTCTTAATTACTTGCTGAAGTGCTTTGATGAATCAGGGTCTCCTCGGTGCCAAATCCTGATGGTTGGCAGCATATCCAAAGCTAACACATGCTCTGGCTTTGGCCAGCAAACCCCTGCATCAGCCTCCCCCCGCCCCTCCACTCCCTCCCCATTGCAGGACGCAAGTCCACAGGCACACACACGGGCACAGCACAGAGGGAAAAGTGGAGAGGTAGGTAAATACTTAGCAGAAAGCAACCTACAGAAGAGCTTGATTGGCCCGTCTTACCAGGAAGCAGAAAGAACAGAGAAAAAAATGTTAGCAATGGTCAAAAAAAGCAAATTTGTTCTTTCACTGACTCCCCTCTGACCCAGACAAAGTTCCTGCCCTGGTTTCTGTCAACGCTCCTTTCTGTGCAGCCATTGGATCAAGACAAGGCACTTTCCATCTCCTTCTTTCTCCTAACCCACTGAAGAACAAAATATCCATCCCACCTGGCTTTGGGCATCTCACTCAAGCACCTAAGAGAGAAGCTCTTGCTTCAGGGCTTGCCACTCGCCACTGGTGCAGCTCACAGGAGCCGTGTGCAGAAGCAAGGTTTGTCCCAGTGCTCCCATACCCAACTAATGCCACAAGGATGTGGGGCTAAAGCTTGACATCTGGGCACCTGGTGGCACAACCCCTGTTGCATGCAGCAGCTCCTGTGCCCCCGGTAGCTGAGTCCCGAGCCCCACCATGGCCACGTCCAAGCACCCCCTGCCACTGTGCACTGCTTGCCAAACAATCACTGCCTGCTCTGCCAAACCCACCAGGGAGGATCAGCCTGTAACCTCAGCTGTGTTGTGCCTTCTGTGGTTTTTCCTTTTTGTAATACACTCTGGGACCCTGGAGTTCCATGATGCTTCTAGCTTTCAGAGGAAACTTGAAAGGCTGGAATACTTAATCAGTTTAAAAATTAAAAAAATCCCCACCCTATTAATCAGAGCTCCTCAGTCTCTCTTTCTGGGCTCAATAACATGCTCTTGCGAGGGGGAGTGGCGTGATGCCAGTTAGCATTCACTTGCTGCCTGAGATGCTTGGCATACGTCAGAGTGCATAAAAACATGATCAAAGATGGTCAAGTAAGTTCTTCCTTCCTTTCAAAAAAATTCCCGTTTGCTTGCACAGATATTTCTTCACAAAATTCTCAGAAGAAATCAAAACCATGAAGCTTTGTGTTTCTTTCAAAACCATGTTTTGTTTCCTTAAAGCCAAAAATGATCATGTTTGAAAAATATTTCTGGCAATAGCTTTAGTTTCACTGAAGAAGGCATCTCTTCCAGACCAAACCAAAACTGTCTTCTTGATATATGCTCTTTCCTTTTATAAATCCTTTCTGCTATAATACCAGTAAGAGATAACGGGTGACTAAGTCCCACCTTGGCACCCTGTCCACTCTAGCTGATGTGCCCTGACTTGCCTTTGCTTACTTTGCCAGTGACCCACAGCATACCAGGAAAATGGATGGGTGTTTTACCTGCAAGCCCTGAGTTGAACACCACAGTGGGAGAGGCTGTCCCGGGCAGCGGGGGTGCTGATGGCGGGGGCGGTGGAGGCAGCGGAGCTGCAGGAGCTGTCTCCAAAGCTGGACCTGGGAGAGGAGGTGGTGGTGGTGGTGGTGGAGGCGGTGGTGGAGGTGGTGGTGGAGGTGGCATCAGCACTGACACAGGACCATTTTGCACTACGAGATCAAGGAAAAATTAGGCATTTCAATGAACACAGACTGAAGTAGTACAAGAATGCTTACAAAATGTCACAACATCCACCTTACCCCCCTATACATCTCCTCCTTCACCAGACTGGCCCAAGCACTAGCGGACCCTTCCCCAAAGTACTTCAGTGCATTAACATGGGAGGAAACTACCCTAATGAAAGAAACCAGCATTTTTTAATGTTGACTGAAGGGCTCAGAAATGGATCAGACAAACACGGGAGCTACCCAGAGAGTGAGAGTGCAAACACAGCTGGGGACCTCAGCATCCTCAGCTCCTGCAAGGTGTCATGACCTGCAGGCTCATTACAACTGAAGGTGGTTTTATCGGCACAAGGCTGCTGTGACTGTCCCCAGCACAACAAACTCCACTTTCAGCTCCCAACCAGCCCACATCTCAGGGACAAAAGGCTTCTTACCTGCCTCAGATGCCGCTGCTAAGGTGGGTAATGGTGGTGGAGGTGGTGGCAATGGTACTGAAGATGTAGCTCCAGCAACTGGTGCAACACATGTTCCAGACCCAGCCTCTGACCCTGCTGGCACCATCCCAGAGGCCAGAGCAACAGGAAGGATAGAGATGTCACCATCACCTTTCTTTTGGATCTTAATGGTTCCCTGCTTCTCCAGTTCATGGATCTTTTTCTCCAGTGTTGACTGTCGCTGGATGGCTTCTTCTTTTTCTTTCACCATTTTTCTCAAGGTATGAACCTGGGTATTTGCATCTTTGTAGATTTCCTGAGAATGCCACAGAAACAAGGAATTTGCACTTGTATTCACAGAACAGAATACCAATGTCAGAAACAGAAGAATAGCCTGACACTGGATGGTCACTGCGCCAGGCTGTATCTAACACTGAGCTCTGATGCAAAGCAAGTCTTCAATGGTGAGGAAGCATTCATTTTGTGTTTTTCCCAAGGTAGCAGCAAGGCTGTGTACAATACTGAGTCCTGGGAGAAATCTCACCCGTAGCCACCAACACCTGGGGGTGCAGAATTTCTCATTTTTCCATGATGTCTCTCATTTCTTATGCTAGTCTTGAACATGTACTGTAGGTACACCACCTCAGTTTTGACTTCAGCAGATTATTTGCCACCTTGTTGGTTGTTCTACCTATAAGCAGATGTTGGGCCATACAGGGAAACAGGAACAGAGCTCCTGATCTAGAGAGGAGACTATGCCTGCACAAACCCAGGGCAGACCCTCTGAAGGAATCCTAGAAGCAGCCACACTTTCAGATGGCATTTAGGCTGAAGTTAGTTAATATTATATCAATATTTTTGTTACTAAGTTTGTATACCAAGAAGTAATGTCTGGATTGTTCACAGAAAGCTGGCTGTGCTTGACAGCACAGACACAGGGCACTTGCTCCTGTGCTGCAGCTGCACAGCCCAAAAAGGACTTCAAGTCTACCTTGAATGCCCCTCCACAGCCAACCACGTGCAAAGCTCCAAATAGCGATGTTACAGACCAGAGCAATAGGATGTACCATACTCACTGATGTGCTGGCATATTCAAAAAGCTTTTATGTTCATCTTCGAGTTCATGCACAAGTAACTCTACTTGAAATCTGTCCCAGGTTCAGAATCAGGAAGCTACCAGAGGTCACTTGTGCCAGAATCATTACCTCCCATACACCAAGTGCTAAGAAGATTGCTCCCCTGAAGCATGGCATCCAGCCAGAGCTTTCCCACTGCACTTACCCGAATCACATCCAGTTCTTTGTTTCTTTGCATAAGCTGTTTTTCCAGTTCCACAATCTTTGCCATGGCTTCATTCTCCGTATCTTGGAGTTTTTCAGATAACTATCATTCAAAAAGAGAAACAGATTATATAAGTGGGTAACAGTAGCTTTCTCAACCAAAATGTCAGGAACAGTTGGAGCAGGGGTAGATGGTAAATTACTGATCTTCCACCAAATCCTCTGCATGCGGTCAGAGGGCGCTGAGTGTCCTGCTGAAGGTTCTTCTGATGAAGAACCCTATCCTTCAGGTATTACCAGCAAAAAACCTGGCTGGAATGCAGCTATGAAACTGTCCAGGTTAAGAAAGCCTATTCTATAATAAAGCACTTAAAATGCAATTATTTCCATACACACTAAGTCTAATCTGAAACCCCAAAACCTCACAGAATGTCACAATGGCACTGTTGCAAAACGAATAGACGCTGAAATGGTGGAATGTGTAAATATCACCTCTCACAAGGAAGTTAATTTGATTATTTATGAATTTATTTTCTTTTTTACTTCCACTGTCTTCTGGTTCATTTTCATTTTCTGCCAGCCCCACAACCCTGAGATCTGAAAGCCTCACAGTTCTTGTTGGCTTTTCCATCACCACCATTATCACACTTCCTCAGGCGAAGCTGCAGTGGTGAGGTGGCACCAGTTGCTGTGTTTTTGAAATAAAACTTCTATAATTCTATTACTAGCATTTCTGTCAACACATGACAGAAAATGATGTCCATGGGTCCTGGGATGAGTACAGTTTATGTAACTAGATCAAAACCAAACCCCTAAAAATGTGCCACCAGAGTAAGCCATTAAGTTTCCAAAGAGCTAGAAGGAGATCTATGAAGCCAACACTGCCATTTCTACTGAATTATCTCTCACAGAGAGGCACCTCAAAGGGGTAAGTGCTGAATAGCAAGTTGTTTTAAGAACATTTATTCTAAGTGATGGCAATATAAGAATCGTAAGAGAATGATGAACCATTTATGATTTTTTAATGTATGGAAAAACATTTTGACTTTAAAAAAGCCAAGCCATGTTTTCTGGACTACAGTAACTGACAATAAGAAGGTATGGGACAGAAAAGCCGTGAACAAACAATGAACTGAGCAAGCACTAGCATCTCTTTTTCAGTCCCTTCCCGCTTAAGCCCACTAATGTGTTTTAAGACACTGATGGGGGGGGGGGGGGGGTGTTATCTGCTCTATTTACCAGTACTGCATTACTAATGAATTTGCAGTTTCTATGTAAATTAGCTTCCCCAGCTTATGAAATAACCTTGCACAGAGGCTCTGTGTGCCAACTGACTCCACCTGGAACTGCAACCAAACTGAAGCTGAAGCCTCTGAAGCTGCAAACCTGCTGCACCAGGGCCTTGGGGACCTCTGCTCCGCTGGCCCCCAGGCACAGGGGGTCATCACCTCCCAGCTCATAGCAGCTTTTGGGGATAAACTGGCTGATGCTAATGAGGTGTGCAAGCACTTCAGCTGTGTCCATGTGAGCAGTCATACAGGCAGACACTGCGGAGCACAGGCTAAACTATCCCTTGATGTACACAGAAATGCTGTGTCAAGCCCCACATTAACAAGGCAATGCCATCCTTTGTAAGAAGCTAGGGGTTGCATCAGATAGGATAGTAAATAAAATGACAGAATAAGACATTTTCTCATCAGGCCAATAAACAGTTTGTGAACAAGCCTTCGTAGCAAGTGGAGCACACAGAAAATTAAACACACAGAATACGAGGTCCAAAATACAGCTTGAAAGCACCCAGGAAGTTTACCTGCCCGACATCTCCCAGGTTCCTTCATTTGCCAAATACCTGATTATTCCCCCAGTGCAGAAGCATAGTAGTCCTAAGGCTTTTTCTAAGTGAACCTGACCCGAAAGGCGGTAGCCCTGCTGTGTCTGTGCTTCCACCTCCCAAAATAGGCCATAGCAAAGCCCATGTGCAGAGCGGGTTCCAAACTACTTCAGAGGCAAAGGTGATAAAGTGTGGTACTAACATGGGAAATGTTTTCTTCCAGTTCTTCAACTCTTTCCAGGGCTGCATTCTTGGTTTCAGCATCCTCCAGTAAAGCTCCTACATCAAAAACGTTATCCAGGTAAGCTTGAATTTGCACCTGCAGTTTATCACTCTCCGTGTGTTTCAGTTTCTGCAAATCCAAGAAGACAAGCGTGTCACTCAGCATTGGCAGCCATTCGCAGCAAGAGGGATGCAGACAGCAAATGGGGTGGGGAGAGCAGTGGGAGCTCAGGCCGCTTCCATCACCCAGAACACCACAATCTAATGTTAGCTGGGGTCATAAATAAAAAAGTCATTTTTTTTAAACCAAAAATCCAGACCTTTCAAATAAAGCTAAGCAGCATCTTATCTTGTGCTACTACAGAGGATGTTACTGCTTTCTTCTGTGCTTGCTCATTGACTGTGGCAAGCTCTGAATGCCATGTCCCAGCTCTGAGAGAGTGCAAGGCCAGGGAGGCATGCAGCCGGTGGGGCTGGCCCTGCTGCTGCCCATGGTGGTCACCAGCTCAGTGTCCAGTAGGCAGAGATGAGGCCTGTGTTTGGGTTCAAAGCAGCCACATGGCCTGGAGCAAACCGTCCAATTGCTCCCACTGACCTTGCGTTGGAGTTTGCTGTGTTCAAAGTGATCATGCTTTATCTCCAAAGATAACACCAGAGCACCAGTTTTGAAGTGCTCTGCCTGTTCCCAGGGGACTGCAGGGTTTGTGCCACACTGGGTCCCCAAACAGACCTGTGTTCAGTCTTGCAGACAGCAGAAAACCTCTCTCCTGGTTACTGCTGAGCAGAAGTCAACAGGGACAACTCAATCCCTCGTCAATACGAGTACCATGTTCATGTGCACTCCCAAGGGCAGGAACAGGGAGAGAAAGAAAAATACAAGAATGGGAAATACAAAAGCAGCTTTCTTCTGAAAGCAAGCATTTCCCTGAGGACACAAGAAAACACCTGGCTAACAAGAGAAAACTCAAAGGAGGATTTTTTTCATGCAGAGATGGAGGGGGCCCTGGCAGTATCTGAGCTGGAGTCAACACAAGGCTTGTAGCCCACAGCTAGAGGTCAGGGACGTGGCATGGGCGAGGACGACTGCGGTTCATCCTCCCTTTGTTATAAGGCAAAGCTAAAAATTTAGCTCCCAGTCTGTAATTGCAGTTAGTTGCAGCTGATTTTTCTTCTGCAGGGTTGGCTCCAGGCCACAGCCCCCAGTCAGCAGCCAAGGCATGGCATTTTTAGCAGAGACCATGGGACAACCGCGCTCTGCCCTCCTAAAAGCTCTCGGGTGAGGGCTTTAAGGAGGTTTAAGGCTAGGCCGGGCAGTGGCAGAGCTGAGGGATGTGGTTGGGACCCACCATGGCTGTAGGTGGGCCTAGCTCACATGTGCCCAGCCGTGGGGAACAGATCTGCGCTGCGAGGTGGTGGAGACCCAGATCATACTCACATCCAAGTACTCATCCAGGCCAAGCTTTGTAAATTCGTACTGCAGGTGGACTCTGAAGTTCATGTCCTCCACTGAGTGGACAACGATGTTGATGAATTGCATGCAGGCCACCTGTAAGGAAAACCACTGCACGTGAGAGGAGGCGTCAGAGGATCAGACACAACAAATGACAACATTTCCTTGCAGAAAGTACAAGGGGAAACTGTGATCTGCTGTTCTGCAGGTCTTTTCCAAGTTGGTGCTGGACTTGGGCTTACAGAGCGTTCATCTGCTGTGATAAAGGGAAACATGGGTTCCAGAAATTAGTCATGTCTGCAGTCTACCTTTCCTGTGTGGTGGTGAACACAAATGCTTTCCATGCCAGCTTGCATAGCCAGACATTGTACAAGCACACAAGCTCTTTAAGAAAATAACGCCATTTCTACAACAGCTTGTAAAAGTGAGATTAATTTTGCAACTGGAATCCCTAGTTTAGGAAATGGGACTTTCACAAAAGGCACTTTGTTGTTTGCAAAAAGAATATTTCCAAAGCTGTGGTTTGGTAACTGAACCAGATCATAGGAGTCGGCATCCAAACATGTCCCAAACAAAGAAGGAAAGGAAAAGAATGAAGCAGGTTGCCAGTGGTACAAGCAGTGAGGGAAACCTCCTGCACAATGGCAGGAACTGGGCTACAAATCCCAAAAGGTTTGCCCTTTACTTGAATGTATGGCACAGCCAAATCCTGCTCTGCACAAGTTTCCCCAGCCCTCTTTCAGCTCACAGATCATGTCTATGACCCTCTGAGCTGCTTTAAGAGAGGGTTTGCCTGGTCCTTCCTGGGCTTCTCAAGGGCATAACCCTACCCTACTAACAACACTGCAACTGAGGTAGTAATGTAGCTTTTCAACATCTACTGAGATACTTCCCAGATTTCCAGAATGAACCTGAGAAGATAAAATAGAAGCAACCTGATTTTACCTGCAGGAAAAGTCTCCAGGAGAGGAGACCCCACATCTCTGGATCACTTTTTGGGAAGAATAAACTGAAGGCTACTTGCTGGATCACCAGTTTGATACAGGAAACTGGCCAGTTTTCTGTGATCTCTTGCAGGGCCCAGAGGATAAACTCATAGGCAGGCATCTGCTCTACTGGGACCTTTGACTGCAACTCTGGCTGGGATGCCCAGAGCTGCTCCTTCCAGCCAGAGGTCCCAGCAGCTGCTGAGCTGCCACAGAAACTTTCCCAGCCAAACTGTCCAGTACCACCCAGCTTTGGAGGAACTGGGACCACAAGGACCCAACAAAGGTCAGTCAGAATATTTCGGTTACATCTTCCCATGTAGAACTGACTAACTTAAACCATTCTGTTTCCAAAAAGACTTCAGTTCTAGATAATGCAAAGCTGTGAGACTCATAACACAGATAATTAAGATAATGGTCTAGAGACTCATTGAAGAACCCCTGTGATATCCCACCCCCACCTCTCAGTGTGTATGCATCTCTTAAATGAACAATCCAGTCCATGCAGTTGGAAACCTAGCTCCAGGTTTCAAGTCTTTGCAGGACCTTTTCCAGTTCTTGTGGTGAACTCTATTTCCTCCCAGTGCTGGTACTGGCTTTAGCCAGCTGAACCTTGCTGTCCTGTCGTATCACCCAGAGCCAAATTTCCCTATTTCAAAAGTGCTTTTGTTATACTTGCTTTGGCTCTCACAACGTTTGGGCCAAATTCTCATTTCCCTTCTCAGATCCTTACATACACAACTAAGGAATGTATCAAGTGAAAGAAAACTAATCTAAGAAAGTTGCTTTTAAAATGAAGTAAGTCAATGTCAACAACAGGAACCTTCTCTAGAATACTTTTGCCTTTTTGCCGCTCTTCCCTCCCTCTCGATCCATGCAATTAACCGCAGCGCCCTCCAGCTCCAGTTTCCCAGACAGCTCTTGCCTTCTCCATTTAGGGCAGCATGAAAGACAGGTCCTGAGAGAACAGGTCTTTGTTTATGTTCAGTCGCTGCAACTCCTTGAATTACTTGAACTTTAATTTAACATCTGGGAGCCTGGGCTACAGCACCCATTTTACCCTGACCTGCGTAAAGGCATGATGCCTGCCCTGGGCACAGCTGGTGTGACCCGCAGGCTCCCGCAGCGCCAGGGCCTGCAGTGCTCCCTGTGTGCCCCTGAAGTGCGCCCGCCGGCTAGTGCCTGCCGAGCACAGCATGTGGAGCTCATTAGGGCCAGATGGCGACAAGAACGAGAGGACCTGCCAAATCGCTTGTCATGAGCCCTCTCTTCTAGCTTTAAGCTTGTCACAGAGTCAAGCCCCATAGCTGGTGGAAGCAGCCCAAAGATGCAGATTTTATTAGTATTTGGGCAAGACCTAAAAAACCTGTATTTATTCTTTTTCAAGCAAATTTCATCACTACTTTCAACCTATGGCCTAAGAGAACCAGGAAATTTTCTTAAATGCTGTCTGGATGCTGACTATTTACAGGCTTGTACAGACACACACTCACATGCATATTGCCTTGTATAGCCTTACAATACTCTAATTAATATTTTAAACAACAAGGAAGGATTATTTTATTTTTTAAAAGGCTCACAGCAAGGTAGCTGGCTGCAGGCTGCTGCCATCCTCTTGCTTCCAGGCTGCTCCAAGCTGTACTATTCTCCCACTCACCAAATATGATTACCCCTCTCTGTGAGCATGGGAGAAATGACTAAGAGTGGATGTTGAGAACTGACAAATCTTTCTGCTACATTATAGACTAAACTGTATGCACATCTGGGAATACTTAATGTATACTGTGACTACCAACATGTCCTTACTGGGACTGTGGTAACAAGGAACAAAACCAACTGTAATGTGTCAGAATTACTGACAGCAGCTTGCTAAATTGAGTAAAATTGCAAGGACCACTAACTTTTTTTTTTTTTTTTTTAATAGAAGAAAGAGACCATTCTATCTTACTCATACCATCTCCTTTTTATTCTGCTGTCCCTTCAAGGGTGTGAGCCTGCCCTGGCCATCAGGGCTGCAAGACACTGACACTGGAGTGTACAAAGCCTGTAGGAAGCACCACACTGGACGCTTTAATGCCTAATTTCTGGCAGAAGGAGGTCTTTAACACAAAGCTCAGCAGTAAAACAGGATGAAGTGTCACACATGTTTAACAGAGGCTTCCGGGTGGAAAGCCTTCCTGCTTTGCTCTCACCTCAGAAGAGGATCACATCAAATCTGAGGCACTGAGCATGAGCAGCATAAGGGAGGTTGCACTGACTATGCCAGCATTTGTTTTCTAATTAAGAATAGGACTTAAATTTCTCACACTTCTGACATGACTTAGACTTTAAAAAAAATGGATACAGAAGTATTTTTGATACCAGACACATAAGCAGCTGGCTCATCCTCACTGTCACAACCTGTGCTTTTCACGCAATGCCAACATGCAAGCTGGCACTGGTGTTTGTGGGTGCCAGGCAGAGCTTCCTCTCTCGCTGTTCCCTCTTGTGCTCCAGGGGAAGTGGATTTGGTGAATAATCATGCATATGAACACTGAAGAACTAAAAGTGGTGCAAACTAATGCTATATTTATCAGCAGATAAGGACAGACAGCAGCTGCAGTGAGTCTCTCCCACACTTCCCTGTCTGTGACTCTGAAGATGTTGGCACACAGACAGAATACATATCTTGATATTGCAGAAGCTGCTGCTTTGCCACAGAGAAATAGCACACATGACCAAGAGGCTGCTCTCCTCTTACCTTCAGTATGGTACAAGGCATGTCTTGAAGACAATTAAATTGAACAGAAGCTAAAAATGAAACGTACATTATATAGGTTGGAATATAAAAACATTTTACTGTGTTAATTTTAGGCTAAGGACAAGAAGACAGATACATCTCTGCCTATGACAGCATGACCAGACATAGTACACACTAAAACCAAAGTTTGCTGGTGATAAATAGCGCTCACCATGAAGTCTATATTGTTGTCTTCATTTCGGAAGTGCTCCATCAGCTTCTCAAAGCGCTGTTTCTCTCCACACACCTACAAAAGAATCACCATGTGTTAAACTACAGCTTGCAAGAGAGACCACGAAAAATGTTTAAAAAGCAAACACCATCTCCTTGCTCAAAATCTCTCTAACAGGTCAGGTACAATTATAAACCTTTGTATCTTTTCCTCTACAAAATTTAATCATACTCATTGATGGTACAAACATAGAGTTGCACTAGGCTATGTCACAGGAAGACTTGGCCTCTCTCACACTTCAGACTGTCTTTCCACTGCAATATATTTTAAGAAGATGACCAAACTACTGGGAGGAAAACCAGAAAATTTTCACCAGCTAAACAGGGAGTGAAATACATCAGCGTAACTATCAGCTGGTCAGAATTACAGAGCTGTAATACAGGGGTGTTGGCAGGAAACACAAGCAATTGGAGGGAGAAATAAGATCTAAGATAAAGCAGGATATTGTTAAATCTTACTACTTCCCAGTAGCTTCTCTGGCTCAGTCCTACTTTTCTCAGCACACAATTGACCTAGAGTAATCCACACCAAAATCACAAGACATTAAGTCAGAAAGCAGAAGGGAGCAGAGATGAGCACCAGGAGATGCATCCATCCCCCATTCTCTCTACTTAGCAACTGCAACTCCTCCCTCTGTGGTGCATCATTTGGGATATTTTTTCTGTCCAGACACAAACGGACTACTCCAAACACCTAAGCTGTAGGTCTAGGAGCCAGTGCAGGGAGCTACCCCACACACAGCTGCCCCAGCATGGCCAGATGCAACACAATGGGAGAAATGTGAAGTGTTCCACATGTTCCCAAATTCACTGAGAGCTCCCTCATACCCTGCACCATGAGTTGACTTTTCTCACCTGCTGGATTTTCCTGTCAAACTGAGCAATGAATTCAGGAAGAGCACAGGCATGCTCTTCTGAACAAAGTGGTAACTGCCTGGGTAGGCACATCCGTGCACTAACAGTGTTCAATGCTGCTCCCAGCTTCACCCTCCTTAGATGCTGGCTGCTTACAGACAGACAGAAGGAGCTCTGAAAGAAGCCATTTTGCTCTTAAGGGTCCTGAAAAAGTCATCTGGAGAACTGAGACTTCCCTTCTACTTAGGAACAAAACCCTCAGTGAGCCCAAGGGGCTCCTTCCTTCCTCAACCAGATTTCACTGAAATGTCCCAGGAGCACTGGGAGATACTGACCAGGAGCAAGGGACACAGCAGTGAGACCTCCAACCCAGGCTGTCTAGTTAGGGTTGACTGGCCTCTGAGCAGCACACCCCTCTAGACATCAGCTGCTGTTTTCCTTAACAACCAGATCGTGGCCCAGTTGTTATATATTAGACAGTGGATGGTAATTAGGGATAAGAGAAAGCACTGTTTGCTGCTTCTTTAGAAGCTATCCTCTCTGGGGCAGGTACCAGTTCTTTGTACATATTTCTATGTTTGTGCCCTCCACAAGGAAACCAAATTCCCAACTAGGGTTTCTACATACTCCCAAAACTTTACAAAGTACGCATTATTATTACTATTCCTGTATCACCTTCCTCCTTGTAACTATATCTATCCTACAGTTCACAAAGTTTAAGGCACCGAGCAGACCTCACTGAAGTCAGAGTTTAGCAGCACCTAAACTGAGCTAATCACAAGATTTGCAAAGTCCTGCAAGAAATGGCTTGTTGAGTGACTTCTTGCCATGCTTCTGCTGTTACAACCGAATAAAACATACTTGTGGTGTATGTGATACAACTTCTGTCGTTCCTAAGCAAAATTGCCACAACTGTGTTATTATTCAGGTATTTGTGGTCAGTACCTGACGTCAATGGGAATTCTGCCACTGGATCTCTGTGAGAGGACAGGGAAACTGGTTATGATGAACTATCTGATAACATTACCATCAATATTCATGGCTATAATCCCACAAATTGCAACTAATGGGCTCTGTGTGGGCTCCACAACCCCTACTCACATAGCTCCTGCTAGGAGGGTGCTGAAGTCGCACACAAACACTTGCTGAAGTTGTGTTTAAATGTGTCCAACTTAACCTTAAAGACACACAATGTAGAATCAACACAAATAACAAAGCATGCACCCTCATGAAAAACAGATTACACTTGCTGATCAAGCAAATTATCATGATCTTAAACCCAAAGGACTCAGGTCTCTCTGCAGTCTATGCCATGAAAGTGGTTTTGAAAGTTTAAACACCTTCACAGGGGCTGTTCTTCATGGCTCATAAAACACACATTAAGGTCTAAGAGTAAAATGGAGCCAAGAGAGACCCACTCTTGGATGGAGCAAGTCTCTTTTGTATTACCTAGCCTGCAGTTGTGCAAGGGGTGAAGCATGCACGACCTGTCTCTGCCTAACAGAGATGGGGGGCCCGGGACATGGAAAGGATGGGGGAGTTTGGAGAGCCACTGCCATTCAGTTTCGGGATGTAAATTTTCAGTTTAATCTCGAGCTTTTCCTCTTAATGCTTGCAAAGCCTCCCTGTAGGGTCAGGAATCACCTCGCTGGGATATCAAAGCCCAAACACTGCATGCAGACTCCCAACAGAGCAACTTCAGCAGAAACTGAGAGCAAGCGAGCCAGCCCTTGCCCCAGCCTTCCAGTGTGCTGCGCTTTTCAGCAGGTAGCTTAAGACTCTGGTGAAGAGTCTTAGGCTCTGCAAAGCTACCAAATGTCCAAACTCAAATCCAAAGTGGCCAGGAGCACCCTTGGAAAAACAGGGAGAAGGGAGACCATCATGAGCATTTTGGCATGGCTACCCTGGTTTCACAAGCATGCAGTTAAAAGCATGAGGTGGGATGAGTGCACTTAGCTCATCCAGAGCATCTCCACACCAGACATCACCAGTGCCTGTTGGCATCCCATCCGTCTCCCCTGCTCTCTGCATCCATGACCGGGAATCATTTTGTCTTGAAGAAACTCAAGTTCCTTGAACACGCAGCAATGTGACCTACTCCCACCACGAATGCCCTACCAGCCACATTCTTACTCAGGGCCCACCAAAAGTGATCCAGGCAGGGTATAGCCTGCAGGCATGCAGCTGCATACAGCTCTGCTGTGGCATATGTCCCTGCCAAGACACACATGCTTCCATGCAGGAGCAACACACTCTTCAGGAGGGAAAGAGACGAAACTCTGAGAAAAGACCAGCCTCTGTCAGCAAGAGCCAGAGAAAACTAGAATCTGGCTGGGTTTCAGGAACCTACTGGCACTGTAGGGATCAAAGGCAGCAGCTGCCCACTGATATAATTTGATTTTGGAGGCATACGCTGGGCTTGATCCAACCCTTGCTCAAAGCAAACCCCAGCAACCATCTCCCCTTGCATCATGGGCTGCTTAGGTGCACTTATCCTTACGTTATCATCCCAGGCCACTTTTTTTCCTACCATAGTAAATGGAATGCTATTTCAGTTAGACCCACTGCAAGCTCTGCCAGCACTCTCCATACTCTCCCCTCCCCACAAAACAGTTAAAAATCAACATCACGAAAGAATAAAGTAGGTTCATCTCAACTTTGAGCTCTAAACAATAGCATCTCTCTTGTACCCATTTCAGAGAAAATTATTTGAACAAAATCATGTATTGTGGAAAGAAACATAACAATGGTGCACGCAATCACTTAACAATAAAAGCCAAAAGGACTGATTTCTAATGTAAACCATTCCACATGGATGAGGAAAGCTGATATAAACAACTACAAGCCATTTATGGCTGATTAATTAAATCAGGGAGCAACCTGAAGTGATACAGCCTCAGCAGAGAACTGCTGATCCAGGAATGCAAGCAGCCCTGGCTAGCTGGAATACAGGAGCTTATTGCAAGAAGAAAAGCAACAACAACCTGCGGCTTTCAGTGGCTACTTGCAGCTATTTCACACTATCATCAGATGAGTCAGTGCATTTCCAGAGACAGGGAACTGCCTTTCATGAAATGATATAATTTATCCTGGAAGATTAAAGAGAGTGAGACTATAGATGAAGCCTACAGCCTGAAAATTGGCCAAAATCCAAGATGAATGCTGAAATCAAATCCCACCACATAAAACCATATGTTGCCATTTATATTTGAATTAATTTCCAGGGTCTGTCATTTGAAAGCATGGCTGGGACTAAGAAAGGCTGATCTTTCTTTTATTAGCATTATTCGGTGAAGAAGCAAGATTAAATGGGTTACCACAGCTATAAAAAAACCTTCTGTCTCTACTTACACTGTGAAAAAACTTTTTAGGTTGCATTAAGCCCATGTCATTCTAGAAGAACAATGTGGCCTTATGGAAAACCACCCACGATGGGTCCTTTCTCTGGAAAGGCTTTGGGTGCTAACAAAGTAAACCCATCACAAATCTATTACGAAGGTAAAATACAATCCTATAAGAAGGTAAAAAGAACCATTACAAAAATTTAGTGACAATTATATCCATATCCACCTGGCATGCAGCTCAGGTCATATACCTCACATCCAGACCACCCAAAAGCAAAGTTCAACTATGACAATCCTTGCATTGCTCCTGCTCACATGGCTGTGTTACTGTAAGATGCTCCAAAAAGGCAACGTGGACAGACAGCAAAAGACAAGAAGGGTATTTTGGAAAAACTGAAGATGTTTTCATGTGCAGTGTCAGGCAGAAAGTGAAAATGCAGGCTGACCAAAGCATGTCCATTGTCCTCCTACCTCAAACAGCTATCTAACAACACAAAGCACCACTTCATCTTGCTGGAGAGTGCAGCTCCTAACTAACCTCACCACAAGCAAAGACAGCATGCTCAATACGGAGATGGCAGCAAACACCAGCAGTATTTAAGGCTTTGGAGCTGCAGCCTGCTGGCCAACAGTACAGAACGCACACTACGAGATGCAGCTGCCAGACTGCTCTCTTCTCCACATCCCAAATTCCATACAGAAAATTAAATCATTTTGGCTGTATTTACACTTGAGGTGAATGTGTTCTGGCATGGCAAAGGCAGTTAACAGTGATCTCAAGGCAGGGAAAACAAACCCCTTAAAATACCTAGACCTT